TATAATATAAGTATACTTGTTTTATTTTTCATATTCAAGACACTATTGGTTAACGATTTGATCAGACTTCAAAGGGAATAATAATATTATAGGAATTTTATATTTAATTTAACAAAATTAATTTTTTCAATCATATTTATTTCCTAAAATAGAAATATTATTAAATTAATTCATATTTCTATATGAATTATGTTTATCAAAAGTCAAAGGTCAAAATCTACGTATATTCTATTTTAATTTTAATTACTCATTAGAAATAATGAATTAATTAAATGTGTTAAACTATTATTATACAAACAAAATGTGCACTTATAAGTTGAAGGTATTTTTTCTGTCGAACAGTAAAACATTTCATTATAATATGCATAATTATTTATCCTTATTATTGTATCCGATGTGCTGTGCTAATTATGGGTATCTTGCAGTTATTTAACTATTTTTTAAATGAATTATTCTTGATAAGTAAGAAATAATTTAATTTAAATTCTTGACTTTTTTAATTCCATGAATTATTAACAAATACATGCATGTTTGATTTTAGCAAAATTTTCATCAATTTTTCTTTTTGTACATGAAAACTTTATTTTTTAAATGTAAAAAGTAAAAACTATACTTTTACGAATTCAACAAAATCATATTGTCAAAATAGCAAAGATAAAATATATTTTGATTTTTATCTAATATTCTATCAGGATAATCCTTAGACATTTTGAAAAATTTTAATCCGATATTTCTTATCCAAAATATTACATTTATGGTATTCGTTTAGTATGTGACCTACCGATCGAAAATCGAATTTAGTATAACCTACCTWGATTACCGGGTTTAATGTGTGACCTACCCACCTACCAAGAAGATTATCTATATTATGGGCATGGACAACCTATGTTTGCTTATCTTTATAATTATATTATATTATACTGGTTTTTACTGGTTTTTACCAATAGATATTTTGTCATTCTAACATTATCGACAATATTGCAGTCAGTACGACCAGTACCTACATGTTCTGTCGTTAATCCGAAATCGCGTGTTTAAAACTTTAAAATGTTGGCAGTTAAATTGTAAWCGATTATTTTTTATTATTATTATWTCTTCTTTTTTGATGATCTATCAATAGGCAAGATAAAATTTTTTTTAATTTTTAAGTGATGTACAAAAAGTGTATTGCTAAACATATGTAATTTAACTTAATAAATTTTTTTATACTCATATTTTGTTGACTAATATTGATATAATCCGTAATCTGTAATAATAAAATAACCTAATTATATAATTAATTTGACTGTTTTAAATTAATTATCGGTCCGGTAGGTCACGCATACAAAACAAATATCATATACGGTAGATCACGCGATCGGTAGRTCACGTACTCAACGAATACCCTATACTAAACCAACGAAATTATAAGTATCTGTTTCATTGATATTTGTATTAACAACCAACTTTGAAATTCGACGAATAGCTAAAATAAATCGCATTTTGTACTGATAAACTTGTGGCAAGACCGAGTAGGTAGGTATTTATTCTTTACACTTCCAGAAAATGTTTTTAGTGAAATTCACAGTTGCCCGTAAGTCAAAAGTCGTTAAATTTAAGCAGATATAAAATGTATTACCTACCTATGTCAAAAATGTTTACCGCATTGTTAGACGGAATCTGTTCAACGCATTAAAGTTGTCCAAAAGCCACAAGATTCGTGCAAGAAATGTTCGAMATTTCGAAATAATGAGATATTATATATATCATTTATAGACATTTATTATCACACATAGGTGTAGGTATACGTTTACATTGTATTTGCGAAAAGGTGTCAAACAAATACTTGAAGTCCACTATATTTACATTTCTGATCAATAATCGTATATCGATGGTATTTTAGATCTTTCAAACGTTATATTTATACCTGGAAGTTATCATTAAATGTATAAACTATATGCATAACATACTTTTGTAGTATATTATTGTTATTTTTATTTTATTTTAATGTAATATTATATGCCTTACTTATTTAAATACAAATTAATCAAAATTCTAGAATCATAGCACGGTTTGGCTGTGCAGAGTAGTAATTGGTGACATATGACAATTGGTACCTACACTGTCATACWTACATCGAATAAGCAACGAAAGTTTTACAAATTGCTCTGCCATTGTATTAAACATTACAATAGGCACTAAAGATTCCGAACTAAAATTAAATCCCTTTGATATTATGTAATTGATATAAAGATACTCATACAAAACCACTTTTATACAACCAACAATTATTTGTTTTTAAACATTAATATAATAAAAGAATTATTTAAAGCTTGATTTAAAGATATAGAAAGCTAACATTGATCGAAGTAAAACCCGAGATCGTAGCTATTTTGATGACATTCATAGCATAAATTTATTGAATATGAAACAATTACATTAAGTACCTGCATTTGAAATAACTATTATTTCATAATTTTATAACTATTACATGTAAAATTATATTAGTATTTTTCATTGATGTTTATTAGAACTGATAAGTCATGTACTTAATGCAATCACAATCAGGATTAAAATAATAACAAACAATAAAGAACAAAATTTAAAAAAATTAATTAATAACAAAATGACTATGGTCTACCTTATTTGAAGCTAAAAAGTAATATGATTTTGGTTAAGAGACCACTGAAATTTTTTAAATTTGAATGCCTGGATACAACAATACTAGGGTAAAGTTTTCTTCGTGAATAAAGACCTCCAAGTTAGATTCTGTTAACACATTTAGTTAAACAAAGTATATAAAATATTATTTTTTTCAATGTTGAATTCCTATTTTTAGTTAAATTAAAGTTTTTTAAATAAAATTATTACTAATTTCAAAAACAAATGTAAAAGTTTTCATAAAAATGTATATATAAGTTACTCAAATAGATGTAATATTGCACTAACATTGCTCCTAATGGTGTGACATGTTTCTTTTAAAAATATTTCAAAACTTTAACGAGGTAAGAGCGGCTTATAGAATTTTTTAATGTATTTCATTCTAATTCTCGTAGAGTATTATACATTATATCATTTATTAAAAATGATTTTAGTATATATAAAGTTTTATAATTTTATAATTTTAGTATATATAAACTAAAAATTGAACAAAGTATGAACGCCGAGCGATATATTATATTTAAGCTTGTGTTAAAGATTTGTATTGTGAGCATTCCTTTAAAAACATTGAATAAAAAAAATGAGGTACCTTATATAAGTTTAAAAAAGTAAGTTAATTGAAATACGCATAATACAAAATAACAAAGAACTTTCTGTAACTAGTAGACTTTGCTGTCGATGTTTTTTTGTGATCAATAAAAAATAAAAATAAAAATAACAAAGCCATTATAGTTAATAAATATTAAATATACTATTGTATTTTGTATATTTGAATAAAACCATAATTTAGTTKTGTATTTTGTAGACAAAAAAGTTAATAGAATAGACATCTACGAATTTTCTTGGTAACTTCTTAATATTTAAATCAAATTATAAAYAGGTATCTCGTATCTATGTCAAATATCATGAAGACAAAATGTATTCTAATTATGTATACTTCGGTACATATTTGTTTTAAATCTATTAAAATATAACAAGATCGGTATACTCTACTATACTCTACTATACTCTACTATACTCTAGTATATTTATTTTTGATTATTTAAAAAGAAAAATTTTCTTTGAAATATTTCACACATACTACTTGCTTTTTCTTTGAAAATAATATTTAATTTTTTTTTATTAAATAAATCATTAATATCACGACATTAATTACGTACATAAATGTTGTTCAATGCTATACAATATTCAAAAACATTAAAATCCAACATTCAAAATAATATTCTTTCGAATACAGTTGCAAAATAAGTATACCTATTGTACACTAATGCATTACCTAGTCAAATAAATTTAAATTTTATATTTAACGGGTAACGGTATTGTAACGATATTTTAAAAATGTTAACGGAACAGCAAATTTTTGTTTCGGACTAATACCATAAAAGATATTATCTAAAACTGAGATGATAATAATATTATAATATTAGAACTTGAACTGTAGGTATACATGAAATATTGTAGAATATGCACATATTTATAAAAACAAAATATTTTTAAAAATGCATAATATTCATAAAAAATGTATGATAATATGCACAAGATTACAATCAATAACATACTCGGAAAATTGTATACGTTTTGTTAAGCTATGCCTTCGGATTTGAAGATATTTTCAATCTCGTACCTATATCAATTTATTATAAAACAATTATTAAAAAAGAGCCAGTAATAAATTTTGTTTTATACCTATATAATAACTCATACATAAAATATAATACGTTTAGCCGATTGCTCGATTACCTAAAGCTCAAGATAGCTCATTACAATCAAAAGTTTAATCAAACTTTGTTCAAAATTAAAATTTTTTTTWTATCGTTAAATGTTTATGCAACTATCTCGATTCTAGAATAATTATGTGACATGTATTAATTTTTACTAAAATACACTTTATAGTTTAAGCGTTACGAAACGTCGACATAATATTTGATCGGAATCATTCCAAGTTAAATGTAGAAATATGATTTGAACGACTTTAATGCGACGTTCCAGACACCGCGGAAACCTTAAGCCTTAAGGGCTTGTACTTRTATCACGTTCGATTTGTTTAGAAACAAATTAATGCGTCTTTAACGTGGACGTACAGCTTTGGCGCGAGTAAAACGAGCGATGATGAGAGTAAAATATGACATAAATAATGAACGGCGCCCATCCAGTCAAGAGGATTTTCACCAAAAAAAATTCATATCTATCATAAAATATATTATTATTTTTAAGTATTTTAGTTTATCTTATTGATAAAAAGTTYGTCATCGGCAGTATAATTATTGCGTTCACCGCAGACATCAAACACATCGTTATTATAATATAAAATAATATAATATACATGCATGTATGATGTAAATAGTAAATATATGTCTTACCGAAGTCGGGTAGGCCAATACGGTGTGTACGCAGAGTGCTGAGGCGAAGGCGACGATTAGTGTACTGGAGTGAGCCATTTCGTCAATGAGTACTGTTCGGGTACGTCGGGTGAAAATTGAAATAAACGTTTGGAAATATTATTTCGGAAAAGTATGGTATTTTCGGGCGCACGGCAGATGGAATGCTCAASAGATTATCGAATTGTTGTGCGTTGGTCGTCACCGGGTCACGATAGTGTGATGAATTCGAACCGCGGTTGAAAGCCTAAATCGAAATATTTTGATAATAAGTATTAAATTGTTTTCCAAAATTCTTTCAATATTAATATATATTATCGAATCTCGTGAAAATTAACGTAATTATGTATATCATTTAATTTACCGCTTAAAATATGATACGGTGTGGGTATGATATATATTATATATATATAATATCAAACGGCGACGATGGTGTGTATGTGTGGGCACGTCACTGACAGTGTTCGGCGTGAAGGCAGCAGTTGGACACAATCGTACCGTGGTCGTCGGCCGGATAAGTGAGGTGTCCCGAAATGCAGGCGCCCATATATATACCGAACGTACGCGCGTACTCGAGTACCACGGCGACTCCGCCTACGTCGGCGGCGCACCAACCCTTGTTGCGGCGGTGGTGGCGTTCGCGACGACGACGCACGGTGTGACGACTATTAGTTTTAATATATAATAATAATTTAGTTATAATATGTAAATTATGATATATATTATAATCAGTAATGTTCACAAATGTATACATAATTGTTTTTAAATTTTAGTTTATTTTTGACTATAATATAAAAGGTATTCGAAATTTAAACAGTGCCTAAGTATTGAATTCTATTTCATATTAATTAAGATTATATCATATAATATATATATATATAATATAATATACATATATAATCATAAGGCATAAATAAAAGCAYAGCAGTTTTTACCAAACCGTCGAGCAACGCCCAATAACAAGTCAAGGGTGATTGACCAAATTCTTGGGCTAAGAAGAGCAAAAAGGTTCTATGTTTAACCATCTTATTTTACAAGAGAGCATRCATTTTTAAGGTTTGTTCAAAGATATAGCACCATTTTGCATTGTGTATCTTATTCGTTATAACTAGTATATCAAACTAATTTCTAGCTTTAAACACGCGCCATTGAAAACTTATAGGTATAAGGAATATTTAAAAAAAAGAAATTTCGAAAAAAACACCATATATGTAGAACCTTTTTACTCTTAGCCCACACAATACTTATACAGCTATATTACCGAAATACCGACACTCGACAGAAATGTAAAAATAATAAATAAATATTGAATGAATCTCACAAAAATCATTGTCGGTGGTATTGTCCGTACGTAATCGTCTTCGTCAGGTTTTTTATTCTTCTACCTATATGTGTACCTACAATTTATTTAAATAATTCACTATTATAATTTTGTTTTTGTGTATTAAAAATTTAAAAATGCAATTGTATTTTTTTAGTTGTCAATTAAAGTTTGCTTCAATACTTTTATCCTGAAAAAAAAATTAAATACCTATATTTTAGCGTTCTTCGGAGTACTATACTCTCATAAAATGATAATATAACATCACTACTGATTATAATGTACCTATGTAAGTATAATATGCCATACATCAGCCAACCATCCCAACCGGTATGCCGTGAAGACTCAATATGTGTGCCGCCAAATACCATGATTATTATTAACTTATTTACTCGTAATTTGAATAATAAGTTAAAATAATTTTAACGATTCTCTTATTCTAATATGATAACGGTGTGCTTGTCAACTATTTGAATAAGGTGACGACCAGTGCCACATTTCTCAGCAGGACTAAATTTTTATATCTAACATAAACATAATCATAATGCAATGTGTCTGCTTTTCAATATCAATAAATTTAATAMWTTTWATAAATTTAAATATGATTTTATATGAGTTTTCCTAGTTAAAATAAACACCATTTTAATTATTTACTAGTGATTTACTGTTTTACTGATTTGTAGATTATCAGGCTATCGGGTTACCATGCCCTATAATATTAAAATATATATATTAAACATATTATTATATAAGTCAGTGTGTGAATAGTGTACTACGGCTAAAATATGGGTCAGGGTTAGTGAGGGGAAAAGGTCGGGAAACACCACTATACATTTGCAACAGGTTAAGTTAGGTTAGGTTAACCTAAATAAATAAATWAATTAATTAATAAATTGGATTACGTTAAATTCGATACGGACGACATTTTTTCTTTACCCCGCCACCCCATAGACACTGTGTAACCGCATGACGACGTCGCACGATATACAATTCATCATCTTATTCATCCACTTACAGTCTCAATCAGTGGCGGCGTGAATGACAAAATATAATAATGATTATACGTGACAAGTATATTATAATATTATATTCTAAGAGAGACTACTGCGATTCAGATGTAAACGGACATATTATTATATAATAATATTTTRTATCATTATAGTGCAATGCGTGTATTAAAACCATCGGTATGGGGGGARGGGGGCAAACGTACAAAATTTGGCATGCACCACCGCAACGGGACGTGTTAGGCTCTTCATCGACATAATATTACAAATATAATATTAAATAAAACAATTTAAATTAATAGGTAGTGTGATGGGTGAATACAAAATTACAACCATTCAGAAAAATACAAAGAAAAGCA